GGGGGGGGGGGGGGGGGGGGGCGTAAACCATTTGCCAAAAAAATTCTCGCAAGTTGCCCGAATTTTTCCGAAACGTACAGTCGAAAAAAAACGAGGGCCATACGATGAAACAACAGAGGCCGCACTGGCATATGAAGGTGGCTCGATACTGTAACAGTTTTTCAGGGTCAATACCTCCCAATTCTGAGCATAACTACCTCGCCATAGACAAACATTTGGAAAAATTGCCACCACAGTTTTATTAGATGATTAGATGAAAATTTGTCATGATCAGGAATGCAATGACATCGGAGTTGTCATAGCAACGAAATGACGCCATTGCCATATTACTTGCAGTAATATTTCTCGGCACAGGGAACTGTTCTTACAAAATCGTTCACGGAAACGTTTTCCTCAAATAGTCGCCTCGATGTTCGTGAAGTTAAAACGAAAACTGTGAGAGTGTTATTAGGATATTTTGGAATGACGTTTTCATCGTTAGAAATATTGTAAAAAACGAAAATCTTGCTGTTTGGCCGTTATCGAACTGAGAACTAGTCAGCCACTTCTTCATTTTCAGATCCATTGCTGATGCTATCTGCCATACACTATTCTACGAGCGGGAGATGATTCTATTAAGATATGCGGAAGTTTATTCTAATCAATTCAAGACTGGAGAGTGCCCATTCCAGTTAGTGCAGTACAGTACAGTGCTCAACAGTAAAAAACCTGATATAAACCTGTTGAAGACTGGTATTGGCCAGTCGAAATATCGCAACTTAACTCTATTTCATGTTGTTTGATCAGTCCCTGCAAAAGTCTGCTTGACTGTAACGTTTTGATCTATTTTGACTGATCACGATCTTTACGGATCCGACGTTGAGTAGGATTGATCCTACACGGTTTTTGCAGTGGTTTTTTTACCTTAACTATACACTTTAAAAAACTATAAATATGTAAATCAATGTGTGATACCCTTTCCTAATAACCAGAAACTCATCACGTGCTAGGCAACCTATGTTTCGAGAGAATGTAACTTGATTATTACGCCGACCGACGTCAGAATTTTTGTCAGAATAAAATATGAAATATTTATCTCTTCGAAATAACAATAAAAAAAAAACAACTAAACGTCTTTAAAACCTGGCTTTGCCCAAAATTTCTTTTGCTGCTCAAAAAATCTGAGTTGCCCAAAATTTCGGGGGGCTGCAGCCCCCCTCGCTCCCCCGGCCCGTACGCCTATGCAGTACAGGGAAGATGGAGGCAAACAAGCTTTCCTCATTATAACGATATGCATTTAAAACAATGCAACACCCGCGGATAGTATTTTGTCACTAACTAACATGGCTCTTTTTCTGTTTCGCTCGGTTAATTACTTTAAAAATCGCTGAAAATTGCGGCCGGCATGTTAGAGAAATGTATCACAGTCCCTAAAATTTTGCTTGGGAGGGAGCTTAAACAACTAGGACAAAAACGAATACTAGTTTTGCGTTCTTTTAAACTCTATCGCGTTTAATTAAAGTTGAGTTTTTATCGCGATACTTTATTTTAGTTTCGGTCAATTTGTTAAACGCTGATGTACCCTGTAAATTTTCCTGGAGTTTAATTCTTAAGGACCAAGAGCCATAATGTATGGTCGGCCATTTGTTTCAAAATTATGACACGATATACGTGCGGTTTTTTCCCACGTATACTTGCAATACCCGATATACGTGCGTTTTTTTGTCACGTATACTTGCGTTTTATTCCCAAGGATATGACCATTTTCTTACAAACGCGCATATATATGCGAACAAAAAAACCCATATATATGTGTTACAAACAAGCATGTGGTATATGCGGTCGCAGAAAGTCGTCGTATAAGAGGCACCAAATTATACCGTCAGCAAAAAACCCCTTCATGTACGATGGAGCTGAAAAGTAACTTCAGTTTGAATCAAGCATGGCCGCAATGGCCGCGTTAATTTCGAGCAAGATTTGGTTCTTATACATTGCCCTCACAGTAGTGGTGGTTGTTGGCTCCCCGACAACGGAAAGTGGAATCCGTGGATTGTCTCTTGAGAGACTGTGTACGCTATTTTAAAAACAAAAGCGCGATGTCTTGTTGCTCCTTCGTAGGAATTTACTGTTCTGTCTATGCGAATGTTATGAATTCTGCAAGAATGCAGTTCCTCGTCGGTTGCTACTATGGTGCAGAGAGCGAAACTAGCTGCTATAATCAAAAATACTGATTTGCCATTGGCCGCAAAAAAACGCCAAAGTGAAGTTATAAATAAACTATCCTTCCAAATAATCGGGGCTTGAGAACTAATAGCAAATAGATACCTGAGGGACATTTTATGCAAGTTGAACGAGAACGAGTTAGGGCCTGTTTACATGGAGTGGGGGACCCCAGTCTAGTGGGGTTGGTTTCTTTTGTTTTCACGCTCTGGGGGACACAAAACAAAAGAAACTTAACCCACTAGACCGGGGTCCTCCACTCCATGTAAACAGGGTCTTAGTTAACCATGAAAATCACAATTAAAGTGGAGGAGCACTAAAGAAAGAGAGGCAGGTGGAAGGCTATTAAAGTCAGTGAGAATACCAGGGAAATAACAAAAAGCTTCGAGACTAGGAGGCTTAGAACGTGTTCGTGGAGGCGAAAAGGTGATAATTCGCGCGCGAGAGAGAAAAGAAGAAAGGTCTCAAGGTCATGTTTCACATTACATCAAGAGCTTATGAGTCGTGTTTTGCCTGTTGGACGCTAATTTCTTAGAGCTGAATCGATCGTTGTTTCGGTCACCATTTGTGAAATAGCGTACACAGTCTCTCAAAAGACAAAAGACAATCCACGGATTCCAACAAATCCGTTGTCGGGGAGCTAACAACTACCACTACTATGAGGGCAATGTATAAGAACCAAATCTTGCTCGAAATTAACGCGGCCATTGCGGCCACGCTTGATTCAAACTGAAGTTACTTTTCAGCTCCATCGAACATGAAGCGGTTTTTTGCTGACGGTATAATTTGGTGCCTCTTATACGACGACTTTCTTCGCCCTCATATACCACATGCTTGTTTGTAACACATATATATGGGTTTTTTTGTTCGCATATATATGAGCGTTTGTAAGAAAATGGTCATATACTTGGGAATAAAACGCAAGTATACGTGACAAAAAAACGCACGTGTATCGTGTAGCAGGAATGATTGCAAGTATACGTGGGAAAAACCGCTCGTATATCGTGTCATAATTTTGAAACAAATCGCCGACCATAATAATGGTCCCAGTTTTATGGCATGACATTAGAAGTCAAATAAATAACAGTAGTTGACCGCCAGGAAAATCTCTAATTTCAGGAATACGAATTATAAACTAGGTACGGCCTTAAAAGATGTCAAGAGCTTTAAAGATCTTGGAATTATTATATCAAAAGATCTTACTTGGAGTGAACATATTAGTACTATGGTGAATAAGGCGAACCAAGAACTAGGGGTAATAAGACGGTCTGTTGGAACAGCTAATACAACAACTTTTTCATTGCTTAACAAAACATTGGTCAGACCACTTCTAGAGTATGCTGCTCCAGTCTGGAACCCATATCTTGTCAAAGATATTCATGCAATAGAGAGCGTGCAAAGACGCGCGTCAAGATTACCTCTTAGGCAAAAAAGAGGTGATATGTCTTATGAAGAGCGTTGTGACACGTTACATTGGCCATCTTTGTCCAGTAGTAGGACATATTCCTCTCTTGTTGAATGTTATAAGATCGTGTTTGGCTTATCACACTTGGATTTTGAGGAATTCTTTCAATTCGCAAAAGTCAAATCCACTAGGGCAAATCACTCGTATAAGCTTTATTGTAAATTATCTAGAATCAACTGTTTTAAAATATTCTTTTTTTAACAATGTAATTAGTTATCGGAACAATTTACCTAAAAATGTTGTTGAAGCCGGTACCCTTGAACTTTTTAAATGTAAACTCAAATCCTTTTTAAAGTTGTAATTTTTATTGTTTGTTTGTTGTTTTTAGGAGAGTTTTATTCATAGGGTTAACCTCTAGACTCTCCCTTTCAAATTTATGTAGTTATATATGAGTTTGAATAAACATGTATGTTATGTTATGTTATGTTAATTCCCATTTTTCTTCTCCTGACTTCAAGGCTTTAATTTCAGCTAAGGTTTTGAATTCCAGTTCACATAACGCGTTCAATTTTAAAAGTCATTCTTAAAGTCAGGAACTCCCTAAATCAAGAGATATCTTATATGCCCGACCCATGCATTCTAAAAACGTAAATTTCAAAACCATTCTTTCTTTGATTAATGATTCTTCAGAATTCACCACCATGTATCATCACAGCCTTCGTCAAGATGTCTTTATAAAGGAAGAGTACCATTATTTAAACGTTCCTAAAGTTGGAACATTCACAGTGTATGACAGCCTTGACTGCACCTTTGAATGCCTCGGCAATCCTTCCTGTTTGTCCTTCAACCTGGCAGCTTACAAAGGAGCAGATGGAAAGTTGCGGTGTGAGTTGTTATCCTCAGAAAAGCACAGCAATCCTGAGGAGTATAAAAGAAACGAGAGTTTTCATCACTTTTCCATCAAGGTGGGGAAAAATCTTTACATAGAGTTTATTAAAGTAAGATATATATTTTGATATCCCAGTCTATGTGATTTTTAATAACCTGTCACGAATACGAATCGACATAAAAGTGACTACTGCACGATAACAAGTCGGGGTTATTCAGTCGAATGTCACTTTCTCATTTTTTTCTGCAACCAACACTTTTACGCAAAACAAAATTACCTTAATTATATGGCATTTGACATCGACCTTTTTTTAAATTATTTCACGGACTCCATGCATGTCATCACCTTGCCAAAACGGAGGCACCTGTGTAGCGAACTACAAGCATCACTCGTTTGACTACCGTTGCAAAGAAGGATTTTATGGAGAATTTTGCGAAAAAGGTAATTGATATTCAGACCGGGGAGCCCGTTCAAGATAGGACAACCAAAAGTTAGCGGGTTTACCTAAAATTTATCTGGGAACATTTTTAAGGCGTTGTAACGTGTACGTCAACATTGATGTTACCATGGCAACTGAGTTTTGACAGCCATGTGTTTCAAAATTTGCATTTTCTTTAAAAAATAGGTTTTATTTCTTTTTTTTACTGATTGAATTATTACGTTATCTACTTCTTTTTTTTTCAGTTGCCAAGTCATGCCAAGAGGTTTATAATCAGCTCACAGAAAAGTGAGCAAACCTATGCATAGTAATTTAATTGATGAGGATAGATCAGTTAAAGTCCGGGGGATCATTCGGGGTGAGTCAGTACTTTGTTTATGAACCACAAAAACAGCCAAAAAATCACTCGTCAAGCCTCAAAACCGAAATACAATTTTTGTTGCAGAGAATGTAGATATCACTTATTAATTGTTAGAATTTGTATCTTGGCTGATGGATTCTATTTCAGCATTTGTTCTCCATCCTGGAAACTTAAGGTTATTAGAGACCTAACTCGCAAAAACTGTTGAATTTTTCAAACAAGTGATTGGTACTGTTCAGATAATAGAAACCATAAACTATGAACACCACCATCCTGCACTGAAAGCCCTCCACCAAAAAAAGTTGTTGATAAAATGCAGTTGAACGCCTCCCTTTCTCTTAATACGAACACCTGTATAAAACGAATGGTTCGTTTGTACCGACAAAAAGTTCAGATATTTCAGTGTTCATAAGTTAACCTGGTTAATATGGAAAACGAACACTTTTCTGTGTCCTAGTCTCAAACTGTCATATAATAATTACCGTAAACTCCCCCGGGAGGTCCTCAATAAAGTTTTATACCGGGAAGCTCAGCCCTGGGTCCAACCCCTTACCTTTTACGCCTGTCATTTTTGCAGAAAAGGTACTCCTTTCGTATCCCATTCTATCCCTTTTGGAAATTTAGATTGGACTGAGACTGTACTGAATTCCATTCATTTATTTTTGTAAGAAAGAGCGAACCTTTTTTTTTTTTACAACCAGTTAAAGTACATTCCATTTTCTCTCTCCGACAGTTGGGAGCTGGAAAAATTAAAATGAGATTTCATTTTGTACAGGTTGAACGTGACTCAGTTGGTCACTCTCCTCCTTGACTCCAAACTAGTTTCAGTTCTCTGTCACTTTGGAAATTTTGGATGAGGAGATGGAGGATGGACACCGGTCATGAAGATGGACGGCAACAAGGTAAGACATTTGTGTACGTTTTCCCTTAGTTTTGCGACGAGAGTGGAAAAAAATGTGTTATTAATAATTAAATAGATGCAGGTTTGCCGCTGTCAGCGGTAATTTTCAATTATCCTAGCCTGCAAATACAGCCCTTTCTCCTTGCTCCTCGTCGCTAGGGACGTTTCATCAGGAGGAACGTCTGCACCTCAGCGACAGAAATTCCATACTAATGACGTAAAATTGCAAAATCTGGGGGAGCATAACCCCAGCCTCCAAGTTTGAGGCGCCTTCGGCGCTCTAACTTTTCTTCTCGTTGGTACATGCTAAGTCCTTGGACCTGACAGATGTAAGTATGAAGAACACCTCTTAGCTTCTGGAATATCTCGGTCAGCAGCAGAGGTCATCCGCCCTTCCTGTCAGACGATGTGAAGGTTTTCATCAAAACGCACTCTGAAGCCTGCTTTCTGTACTTGCGAATACGTGAGAGTTAAAGATAATTGTATTCAATTCGGCATTTTTCAATCGCATCAATGATTAAAGAGTGCAGTATTTGTTTACTTTTTTTTCTATCGGTGGCCATTAACGCCATTTCGCCTGCTGTGGCTAATTTCATTTNTCCGACAGTTGGGAGCTGGAAAAATTAAAATGAGATTTCATTTTGTACAGGTTGAACGTGACTCAGTTGGTCACTCTCCTCCTTGACTCCAAACTAGTTTCAGTTCTCTGTCACTTTGGAAATTTTGGATGAGGAGATGGAGGATGGACACCGGTCATGAAGATGGACGGCAACAAGGTAAGACATTTGTGTACGTTTTCCCTTAGTTTTGCGACGAGAGTGGAAAAAAATGTGTTATTAATAATTAAATAGATGCAGGTTTGCCGCTGTCAGCGGTAATTTTCAATTATCCTAGCCTGCAAATACAGCCCTTTCTCCTTGCTCCTCGTCGCTAGGGACGTTTCATCAGGAGGAACGTCTGCACCTCAGCGACAGAAATTCCATACTAATGACGTAAAATTGCAAAATCTGGGGGAGCATAACCCCAGCCTCCAAGTTTGAGGCGCCTTCGGCGCTCTAACTTTTCTTCTCGTTGGTACATGCTAAGTCCTTGGACCTGACAGATGTAAGTATGAAGAACACCTCTTAGCTTCTGGAATATCTCGGTCAGCAGCAGAGGTCATCCGCCCTTCCTGTCAGACGATGTGAAGGTTTTCATCAAAACGCACTCTGAAGCCTGCTTTCTGTACTTGCGAATACGTGAGAGTTAAAGATAATTGTATTCAATTCGGCATTTTTCAATCGCATCAATGATTAAAGAGTGCAGTATTTGTTTACTTTTTTTTCTATCGGTGGCCATTAACGCCATTTCGCCTGCTGTGGCTAATTTCATTTTATAAAGCTGGAGAAACAAGGACGTTGTAGATCTTCTTTTCACTGTAATGGATCTTTCATTGCAAATTCCTTTTTTTTCTTTTCCGGAAAGGATGTTGTCTTTAGAAGAAAAAAGAAACCTTAATTTGAACTTTTCTTTTTCAAGGATATTTTTCTTATTTCTTCCTTCTTTCTACCATAGCAAACATTTCACTACAATTCCACTCTCTGGAGAAACAAAGAAACCTTTAACCTTGATGGAGGGAAGACTGGGTTTGACTCGCAGGAGACCAAACTGCCCTCCTACTGGAACACATCCTTCTCCAAGATCTGCCTCGGTATGAAGATTGGCCAACAGATCAGGTTTATTGTCGTCAACAAGCAGGCGAATTCCTTGTACTCTCTGATCGCTGATGGGAAATACCGCAAAACCTCACTGGGTCGTAAAACGTGGAAGTCACTGATTGGTTTTAATGCCTCCTTGCAGTACAACTGTAACAAGGAAGGATCTAATAACGCCAGGAGTGAATGGGTGGATTATTAGTAACCATGGGCCCAATTGCCGTGCCTGTCGCTCCAGAATTGGGTTTGGTACTGGAGGGAGGATTGATAAGAGCAAAACATGTGGAAACGACGCAGGGATCGGGGCTGATAATGGTTTCAAGCTCATCAAGGCCATGGGGTACGTCTTGGTGCAGTAGAAAGAAACCATCACGGAAGAAAATTTTGTTTGTTGAAGTTTTTCTTGTATCACGATCACATTCTATGTGTTTATTCGGCAGGCAATCTGACAGTTCATCTCCATGAGCTGCAGTTTGCACACTAACGTTATAAGTGGTGGTAAATATAGTATTAACTTCAGTACATGTTTTCTATTAAAGATTACCGCCCTGGGGACGAGGTTCATAGATTGTAGATTTGTAAACTAAAGATTGCTGTTTTACATAATTGCGAACAGGGAAAACTTCGGTATTGGACTGAAAACATTTAAGTAAAAAATCTTTAGGGCCTGGAATAGTGGATTCATTTGCAGCAGTAAACGTGTAAAAGGCGAAAACATTCTAGAACCCGTTTATTTCCATCGCTTTCTAGTTAGGCACACTGCAGGTTATTAGTACTATCAAATCCAAAGCCAGGATCGGCATCATTAGTAACAACGAAAACAACTGTAAGTCCTGCGACCCTAGAATTGGGTTTGGTACTGGAGAAGAACCTGATCATAGCACCTCATGTGGAAACGAAGCTACAGCCGCTCCAGATAATGGCAGTAAACACATTAAGACAATGGGATATATTTTGGTGTAGTAAAAAGAAACTGATCTGGGTTAATTTACTTTTGGTGCGAAACGAAAGCTAGTTTAACTTAACGCTAGATCCTGTTCGTTTTTTGTGGATAAACAACAGACTTCTTCTAGATCGAATAGGTGTAGTCGCGTCGAGCCAAAGGTTTAGGGTTCGAGTCCAACCGAATTCTTTATTCCTTCTTTCTTTTATTTTTTCCGTTTTTTGTGTTGTTGTTTTCTATAAATATATAGCTAAATAACTGTTTCTTAATAAAGTGCAACAAACAGCAAGAAAAGTATTGTGTTTCCGGACAAAATATCGTGCACCGTATATTAAATATATGGATAAACAATCTGAATTTCTATTATTTCCTACAATTTACTGTGGGAAAACCAGAGTTATAACCACTTGATCATTTTCTAAAAAACGTTCCCACGAGTTCTTTCTATAGACTGATAGTAATTATTCTAGTACTTTCCAACATGTAAATAGGACATTTAATGTCACTTTCGACTCTTTTAAGTCTCACTGCCTAACTAATGCCAGTATCAACAGAATGTGCCGCAGCATTACTATCTTTTAGATACCCTAGTTTTATAGGAAAAACTTATAAACCACTCTCGAGTCACTGAAATCAACACGCTCGACCAAATTACTGGAAAAGTTATTGACGTGAGCCGCACACACATTCCATTGAAGGCTTTGACAGGGTCACGAGTGCGAAGTCTGAATTCAGATGTGAAAGCTTTTAAAACAGTAAATTCAATGTAATTCATTTTGTCAACAAGTTGATGATTGGATGCTCTTAAAAATAACATAGGAAATTATCCGAAGAAATGTTTTTGAAGAAAGAAAAAGAATCTCGGGTTAAGCACTAATCGGCCTTAGCAACTGCGCCATGTAACTCACGCCAGTAAAACAAAATGTTCTATTACGATTACAAGCACTTGACACCGTACCATACGATATCTTTTCAAAACCTTCTTATAACGTGATACACAGTTTAAATAGAGGTTTTGCTGTGCGCAACCCCTACGTTCAAAATATACCATAATCATATTTATCTATATCGCAACCACCCTTCCCCCTCAACTGCTACCTGTACGCCCTAACAAACATATCGAACGCACTCTCCTAAGCACCGATTACTCCTAGTATTTTGGTTAATTGTATAACCCGTTTTCTTGCCGGTAAAATTTGTTAAAAAACTGAGGAGTCTCTTAAAATCCTTGAGAAGCAGAATAGCTTTATTTAAGAAATCGTGTCTGAAGTGCAGCAGTTTGAAAAATTTATTGACAGCTAGTAACGTGTATAAACTCACGAAAAGACTTCAAACAGGTGAAAAGGAAAGAGCGTTTAATGCAATTTTATGCGGCAAAGCTAAAACCGGTTTCACCCTTTCCAGGGCGTGACCGTTTATATACTCACACACACCATTCAGTCTGCCCAGTCTGCGCAATGAAATCTAACCTTGCTCTTCAACGGAGCCGCCCTAATATGTCCGAGGAGTCGCCGCTCTTCCTGTTAGAGAATAATCAGGCCCCGACCAAGCAACAACTAGTAACATTCGTGTCTCACTTGCTGCGACTCATTGGTGTAGATCCTACAGCTTATAGCAGACACAGCTTTCGGATCGGTGGCTCCACATCCGCTTTACGCTGGCCTTGCTGACTACGAAATTCAAATGTTGGGTAGCTGGAAATCAGACTGTTATAAAACTTATGTTCGTTCCCCGCTAAATGTCCTACTTCACTTCCCTCAGCGAATAGCAAAGAACGCGTCGATAACTTATCAATATGCTAATCCCTACTAACAGACTACTCAAGATTCCTAGTGGACAGCTAGTTTTTCTTTCCCTTAGTTTCTCTTACCGCCAACTTTAACATGTGGGCATTTATATGGGCAGTTGTATTTGTCCCAAATGGAAAATATATGTAGCTGCCCATCGATGGCCCACATACGGATGATTGTTGTCTTTATTGCGTGATTAAAGGCACGGCTTTAACTGCACAACTCACTTCAACTGACGTTTTAAATCACAGGCAGCCCAAGCGCACTATGTGTTGGTTCGGGTTTCAGAGGTCATTTGGTCGGAATATACAGTCTAGAATTGTTAGTGTATTATCTGATGCCAAATAAATGCAAGAATCTCAAAGATATGAAGTCTTCTTGTTTGTCTATCTGTACTAGTAGCCTAGACTTTCTTTCCATCGAGTACTGAACTGTTACTATAGTGTTCAGTACTCGATGGAAAGAAAGTCAACTAAATGGCGTTTAAACCGGCCGAAGGACTCAGAGTGGCTATGAACTAAAGGCAAGGGAGCTTTTTGAATCAATATTTCACGTGATCATGATTTTTTTTCTTAGCGTTGTAGATTCGAATACATATGATAAAATTGGAACAATAAGGGCCCGAATCACATGTAATAATGCAAGAAATATCGACCTTCGTTATCTTAAAGGCTACTAGTACAGATAGACAAACAACAAGACTTCATATCTTTAAGATTCTTCCATTTATTTGGTATCAGATAATACACTAATAATTCTAGACAGTATATTCCGACCAAATGACTTCTGAAGCCCGAATCCACACATAGTGCGCTTGGGCTGCCTGTGTTTAAATAAACATTTTTCCTTAAGCGGGTTATATTTCTAAACAACTTCCTTTAACTTATAGTGTTTCTCTATTAACTCTTTCTTTTTAACGCCTCGGGGAATAAACAAATTAATAGGCAAGAGTTAAAATTCAGCTGGGTATTGTCATAACACTGAGCTTAAATTAAAAACTCTTTTAACTCTTTCTTTTTAAAGACAGAAATGAATTAATAGAGCTAAAAAATAACACCGACTGCCGCTTATAAGTTACTTCACATACGCCTTTATGTTCTACTTTTAATTTCTTCTTGCTGTTTAAAGTGTCAAAAAGGCGTACAGGCTCAATGTGGAACACCTATGTAATTTACAATTTACTTGGGAAAACTGGACATTCCGGTTGTTTGTGTCATTCCAACCTTCAGAGAAGATTTAAGACGAAGTAATTTTTGTACTCTTTTCAGTCTGTTCAGCCGATTTGGATATAATTTGTAGCGGTTCGTTCTCAAACTACGTGAAATTTTATTTACCATTTTCACCGAGACCATAATTATGCACCTCGTTTACCCCCCCGCCCCCCAATTTTTCATAACCATTGTTTCCAATTTTTTAACCTCTTAATACAGTCGTCCCAAGAGAAATCGAAGACAACGGTTGTGCCAAATTTTGGGGTGTAAACAAGGTACGTTACATCATCGGACACATCCACATCATCTACTGAAGCAGGAGCCCATAACGGGTTATGGGCTCCTGCTGACTGAAGTCAAGTGTGTTATCTCGACGCAAATATCAAGACTGGCGACGTAACCACACCTTTCCGTATCAGCATCTACGATAAGAGAGATGACTTTGCATTCCGAATTGCCAACTTTCCTCATATGGACAGCAACATTCCCGCCAATCCAGCTTACGGTGTTTACATATCTCAACTGGTGAGATATGCTAGAATTAATTTGCACGTCCAAAGTTGACTTCATAAATAGACTCCGCGGACTTTCATTACGTCTCAGATAACAAGGCTTTGAAACCAATCGACTTCAAAACTCCTTTAATAAATTCGTCAATCGCCATGGTTTTATCGTCGAGAAGTACGGTGCAGCCCTTCGGGAGATGAGATTAGCAATCCAGGCTTAAATTGCACCATCGTATCCTTACATTGCTTATTTATTATTTGGATTTTTATTTCAGTTGTATATTGGTACGTGTGCGCGCGCGCAATTTAATTTTGGGCGCGTGCATTATTTATTTATTTATTTAAGTTGCGTGTACATTTAGTTCGTTTAATAACGTCTTAGTTTTGCTTTGCGTTATTTTCCTCACTTACATGTGTTGTCCGCGACTGTGCTCACACCAGGAGGGAGTCANATATTGGTACGTGTGCGCGCGCGCAATTTAATTTTGGGCGCGTGCATTATTTATTTATTTATTTAAGTTGCGTGTACATTTAGTTCGTTTAATAACGTCTTAGTTTTGCTTTGCGTTATTTTCCTCACTTACATGTGTTGTCCGCGACTGTGCTCACACCAGGAGGGAGTCATAAACTCGTCAGCGCGGCTGTCCGATGTGTCTGGCCATCGTGACGTCACAGCAAAGTGAAGCGTGCGTCGAGAAGATTTTCGTAAATGGCGGTGTTTTCGATTTCTGTGTTGTCATCTTCAAAACGTTTTTTTGCCATTTGGAAAGCGCCAAGATGAGTTTCATTTGATCGAGGAGGTTCTTCATCTTATTTTCCAACTGCAGAGGTACGTGGATTTTCATAATTGCTTCAAAATCTCGCAAAAAAACTTTTTGAACGTTTGTAGCGAATCTTCTCCCTTCGCATTTTGTGTACGGGCGAAACCTCATGCCGCATGCAAATTTTGCCGATATTTCTTGATGGGAAGCATGGGACATCTTGTAACTTGATCCTAGAATAGTTCTTGTCCAACAAAATGTGTATAGCGTGAATTTAATATCGATGAACGCCTCATAAAAATGATCAGTCGATCTATTTTTCGTGCTGGATACCAAACATCAGTGCGTGTAGAACAACTTGAAGTATATTTATCTTACTAATTCAGTACCGGCAGTCAAAATTGCTTTTCATTTATAGCTTTCAGCAAACTTTAAAGCAGCTTAGGTTTCTTTGCAGAGGGTATGTCGTCTGTCATTCCGATTTTGCGTTTCGAAGAAGTGGTGTTGGGGCTTTGTTGTGTTGTGGGACTTTTACTAGTAGTCAAGGAACCGAGTATACATTGTTCATTTTCAAGGAGTTTGGCTCTCAGCTCCTGGTTTGAAGAACTTGCATTGACAGCTATAGAGCAGGACTTGAAAATGTTAATGTAATTCTGCTTTACTTGCTTGGCATTAGGAGTGATGTTACTTTGGAAGGCCACGGACATGATGTTCTTTAATGATGATGAGTGATCTTTCGAGCATGATGTCGTCGTGTTAACTTGTGACCTTTCGAACACTAACATGTACATGTATGATGCCGTTTTTACTTGGGGATGTTTTCCAACGTATTCAGCTTTGCCATTGTTCCACATATCATTGTACAAGTACCATCCCTCTCTATACTTTTTTTCACTAACAAATACTTCGCACCAGAAATGAAAGTTGTGGTGGTATATAATTGCTGCCAGGTCATATTTATCTTTCTTGACTCTTAGGTGGAGCTTGCTTGACAGTCCTGGCTGGATGGGCCTGTTTTCGTCCTTATCAAGCTCAAACACTAGAAGAAAGGGATTATTAACCACGGAAGACGAGTGGGAAAGTTGACCTCCACAAACAGAGCCATCATCATTTGATCTTAAACAAATACCTCTTTGTGAGCAGAGAATATCCTGCTGAACGAGTACCTTTTCTGCGACCTGCACTGGATCATATGTAGAATCTGTTATATCCATTATGTTTATATTAGTGTGGTGGATGAAGTATGAACTGTGAGTGTTTACAATGTTACGGCAATGGTTACACTTTCTGCATTTGATGTTGACTGAATCTGTGATGAAGAGAGCATTCTTTTCTGGTTGTGACATGTTTGAACACAGAGCAGTAAAGACGTTGGAAATTCCTGCCATTTGGCCAAGTGGAAAAGTCGTCCTTCCATTAGAAGTGTGATGGTGTAAATAGGTCCAGAGAACCATTTTACTTCTATGAAAGCTTCCTTGTCCACGGAGGACAATAGATTCAAGAAGTGTATCCATAGCTGGAGTGGTATGATCAAAGTGTGTTCTTTCCGGTGTTATTTGTCGTATGAAAGGATGATAAATGGATTCTAGAAAAGTGTCCAAATAACAGGAATTTGCCATTTGACCAGAGCCATATGTGTATGATTGGAAGATACTGGAAGATGGTGAAGAGGGATTGGAATGTAACTTTTTTTGGCAAGGATTAACTCTGCAGAGGACTTGCAGTTTCCCGCAGCCTTGGCACTTTCGTGTGGGCGTCCCCTGAGCATTCTTCCAAAACATATTAAAATCTTTGTGTTCCATGGCGTTTTCACTTCTGCAGGATGTTAGTGTTGTCAAGACAGTTGACTGGTTGCTTATCTTCTGAGCCTGTGCTTTGAGATGGTCAAGGTGTGTGTTCCAAGTGGGTATTTTTCCAGCCTGTGCTTCACTCCAGAAACCTTTCAGTTGAATAAGAAGATCTTTTATGAACTGCTCGTCCCTTTTTACCAGAAAAATCACTGTTTTTCTTGGTGTCCAACAAACAAAGTGACATTTTTGTGTGTTAGTAGAGTACATTTCCTGGCTCACACGGTGGGTGGCTCTTCCTAAAATGTTCTGCAATTGGTATAGGATTTAATGGAGCCGAAACCAATTGTGGAATTCCACGCATTTTAGGCATCGTACTGATGAACAGTTAGGACACGTAGATATATTTTTTAGCAACTAACATAATTTGCAGTCTGTCTACTTTGAATTGAATGGTCTCGGTGAAAATTTTCAATAGTTTTATATCTATGCACAAGATTTTCACCTGGGTGGTTTGTGTAAATTGTAAGCATCTCTCAGCTTCCAAAGATTGTTTACTAATAAGTATGCATGCAAGACACGCTGATCAGACATAACAACTCACAGGTTTGACTGATGTTCTCATTAGCCTGGCTGCCAGAAGCGACACACACAATTGAAAAGAAATTCATAGATAATTAATATTTAATTAATTTAATTTCTAAGAACACCTATCGCTTTGGAAAAAGACCCAGGTGTGTGTTTTACAGTGTTTGTCAGGTTCCTCAATTTCACGGAGTTCTCCGAGAGTCTCTTCACTAATCAGCGATGTTCTCTTTTTACTTCTGCTCGTTCCCCTTCATTCCGTTGTTTTCTGTGATACCTAATGCGGCTTTTGCTCAAATGGAAGGTTAGTTTTCTTTAATTTATATAGAAGGACATAGACTGACATGACTTCTTGTGCTTTGTATGTAACATACGACTTTGGTAACTAAAAATTCCGGTGAGTGCGTTAGAGAGAATGTATAAGAGCTCCTAAAATTTTGCCCGATCTAAGAGAGGACTGTGGATGTAAACTATGTTTTCTTTTTTAATCAGTTTTGATAGCACACAAAATTAAAGGTCGCAAATTATCTATCATAGAACTGGTGGGTTTTAATTTAGATTCCATATATCCACAAGTGTTCATCGAGCGCCTACAAGTCCTCATTTATCTTTTCTCCAACCTGCTTCGGTTTTACGTACATGTAACTAACGTTTGCGACTTCTAGTTCATTATAATCATAAAACCTAACAATCATCAGGGGCACCCAACGTCAATATTCGAAAAATATCTGTTCGGAAGACGATTTGAGTTCTAGGATTTTCGGAACATTTGTTGTAAAATTTCTTGCTTGCCTGCCTCTCCTAGGATTTTCGAACATCTAAAAAATGGTATAATTGCCCATTTTTAACGGATTTTTACCCTTAAAAGGTCACCTAGAGTTTTCGGAAGCCTTTTTTCTGGCTGAAATTTTCGAAAAGGAAAGTTTTGATTGCTATACTTCGGATCACTAGACTTTCAGCTAGGAAATCCGAACAGATGAAAAATTTTTAGGGCCCATAAAAAAATGCCTATATCTACCGTTTAAATACGAAAATACGTTCAACAATGCTATGTTTAAGTGGTTTTGAACTATATTCTCGTTGGGTGCCCCTGAATCATATTTTGCCGAGCTTTTTACCCTATTTGGTATTGCTATTTGGATTTGGTTGTGTTGTGCTCAAAAGTGGATTCTCTCAGAAAACTTGGTACTTTTCGTGAACGCATAACAATTTAACCCTCGGACGTACNGGGGGGGGGGGGGCGTTGATAGAACACTCCTTAGAGGTTATGAAAATTTTTTTCCTTCAGTGGAAAGCCCTTGATTTTCTCTGTCAACAAGATGAGGTACATTTTACGGGTGGTGGCGTTTTTGGAGGCCCAACGCGTCACCAACAATGATCGCCATCTTGGATTATATCAAGAATTAGAAATCCGATTAAAACCACGAGAAACTGATATTTTTTTGGTGCTTGACATTTAAAATAATACATTAATAAGCACTTTAGTAGACTTTAGTCAAGTCTGAAACTTCCTGAGAAAACTTTCCCTTTTATCGCTCTGTTACACACACACCCTGTTGATGAAAACGGCGCTGGAAGATTGCAGAGGTGGCCGGATAAAATGATTTGCTCACTCATATTCTGCTTCATCTTTGGAGCAGTTTTGGCCGCCGAAGAAGAATCTAGATCTTCCTACATAGCAGCCCAAGAGAACAAGCGTTTACATGGCTATGTTCTAAAGAGAATCGATTCTACGGATGAAATGGCATGCAGTCAAGCTTGTTTAAGGCATTCTTGGTGCACTTCTTCTAACTTTAAAGAGTCCTCAGGCAATTGTGAACTGAACAAGCACGAGTTTGCAGATGATGACACCAAGCTCACCGATAATACCGGCGCAACGTTTTTAATGTTTCTTAAGGTAAGTCGAAGAGAGGTTTGTCAACAACGTACGCAATGTAACAATGATGTATAAAGAACTGCGTTCAAATAAATTTTAACCGAGTACACATCTGTTCTGTTGGAAAAACGGTAAAGTTGAGTTTTATTAGATTGCATTTATCAAAAATGGCATCCAAAGCGGGTATTTGTCTTGTATTGGAGCCAGTCATATTCTGAGTCCTTTTGCTACCAGTTTCAATCTGCGACAATTTTTTAATGTTATTGACGGCTATGCATTCTTGCCTTCAGTTGGTTTAGTTGTTTTTTAATTACAGTTAAGAAAAATGTGCAGTGCAATTCAAAAATTCAAGGAGAGTTCCTCGCGAGCTTTTAATTTGTGGAAATTTTATTTTGGTTTTTAAGTTTAAAGGATATATATATATTGTACAGATATGATTTGCACTGCGCCTTAAAAAGTATCTTGAGAGATCCGTACGCACTGAAGGATAACATGAATTTGATCGTTTTTACCTTAAAACATTTGCTAGTGTAAAAAGCTGCAGGAAGTCGATGGAAAACAACTTTTGCTTACCCAAGTAAAATGTGATTTTCTGCAGGGTTGTCTGATGGCTGGATGCCTCAACGGAGGTGCTTGTTTGTTCGACAAAGAAAAAGACGCTTTCGCTTGCTCATGCAATCTGCAATGGAGTGGAGAAAAATGTGAACTAGGTAAATTCTTAGTTTTTCAGGGGCACCCAACGACAATTTTTGGAAATATCTGTTCGGAAAACGATTTGAGATCTAGGACTTTCGAACATCTAAAAAATGGTATAATTGCCCATTTTTAACGGATTTGTTCCCTAAAAAGGTCACCTAGAGTTTTCGGGAGCCTTTTTTCTGGCTGAAATTTTCGAAAAGGTAAGTTTTGATCCCTATAATTTTCGGATCACTAGACTTTCAGCTAGCAAATCCGAAGAGATGAAAAATTTTTATGGGACAAGAATATGCCAGTTTCTATCATTTAAATACTAAAATACGTTCAACAATGTTATGTTTAAGTGGTTTTAAACTATATTCTCATATTATCAATATACGATAGTGAAAGAGGTGTACTGTTTGAGGCAATTGCTTGTATCTGGCAAATATTTCAGGGGTACAAAGAAAGTTAAACTGTTGGCAGATTGCCAATTTAATGAGCCTTCTACTCTGTGAAAAGTATGTAACATTTGGCGTTTAGTTTTATTAATTTCCTAGCCTAGTCAAATGTGGATCGGCCTGAGATTAAGGTCTCTTAAAAGGGAAAAAAGCGAATAATGGTCTGAACAGCCTGCTTTACACTGGTTCCATGTATAGTTGTTGCCATTTTCAATATTTCGTTCGCCATCTTGTGTTCCATCCCGTAGTCCAGCCAACACCTTTCGCGAGTTTCTCCGTCTGATAGACTACCCAGGATGGAATAATTATAATCTGTTTTTGCAGACATTGACGAATGCGCAAAAAATACCCACAAGTGCGGTGCCAATGCTTACTGCAATAATACCAAGGGAGGATACAACTGCACTTGTCATCCGGGATATTACGGAGATGGAAAGAATTGTGAACCAGGTGAGTTTGTAGATATCGTTATGACCTTAATTTGTTTTCGTCGTGAAAGCTCGTAAAATTTAACATCAATAAGAACCACAATAATATGACTCAGAAACAGTCACGGTTATATTCAGTTTGTTAGCAATATGGGAAAGGAAGTACACTATAATTGCAGATAGCATTTCCAGGAGCAGATACAACGGAGCGAGCAACTCCCATACGAGGCCAATCTATGTATCAAATGGTCGTAGGGGTCGCATATCAATTTTGTCTCTTCCCGTGTAAGAAAACATCATATGGACTAAAATATTACAGATATTTAGGCCCTAAATTAAGGAATTCTCCTAAAGAGAATTTTAGATTATCTTATCTTACGAACTTAGTTCCTTTTAAAAAAACCTAACATTCAAAATTGACTTGCGGGTATGCAGTCGTCATCATATCTTTTATGCTGCTCATTTTTATTTTGTTTTAGTTTAATATTGTCCGTTTAGGCATTTTGTATTTAGTATTTAGCTTCAATAGTTTTAACTCGTTCAAACTAGCACCAGTGTGCTATTTTTGTAAGCGAGTTTAAATAAAGATTCTATCTATCTATTGATATCTTGACCGCATTTTTACGGCTCCCCCCTGACTGACTACTGAATTTAATGTTATGGTAAAACAAGAGTACCAAATTTCTTATTTTACGTATTTCAAAGGGCATTGAAGATAAGCGATTTCAGCAAACTAAAGAACGGCTTGTGATAAACCCAACCTATATGAACATTTAACAGAAACTGTGACAATTCAGTGCATGATTAATTTTTTTTTATTTTGTCTTGTAACACAGCTTTTTCGTGCAAAGACATATTTGACAAGAAAATGTGAGTTAATAAGGTTCCATATCTTTTTACTGAATGTTTAGCCATCCAGTACATTTGTAGCCACATGTTGACTCTTGATTTATAACAAAGAAAGAAAAGAAAAATGAAAAGAAAACTAAATAAAAGAAATTAAGCTGTGAGTGGCTAATGTGACAAATGAAACTACGGTAAATAAGTGGCTAAATAACTTGCCGTTTTATTAGGATCAGATTGCACGCTTGAGGCCGTTTGAGGCAATAGCTTGCCATGGCGGTTTAAGCATGCTATGCCGAAATTTCCATTAACAAGTACTATTAATAAATTTCTTTTCAGATCAAATGAGAGCAAAGCCTACCCACTGATAATGGGAAATAGGGTCATTAAGGCTTACTGTCATATGACCGTTTCTTCTTCTGAAAATGAAACATGTGGAAATGGAGCATGGACTCTGGTCATGAAGACTGATGGTACTAAGGTACCTCCAGATTCACTAATCTCATTAAATAAAACTTGTCCAGACGAAAACTGTTGCTAATAACAGTTGTGTTTATCATAGACATTCTACTGAATCCATGAATGGTATATTTTTCAAGGAAGAATGGTTGCTTTTGGATTTCTTTAACGGCCTATAAGTCGGTTGATTTTTAAATTCTACTCCTTCCTGAAACCGAACGGTTCATTTCCCTATATTGACAACTTATTCGCTCCAGAAGAAAATAAAATAACTTATTATCAGCTATCTGAAAAGGATTAGAGGCATTTTAATAAACTTGATATCGGCAATCTGATAAACATAGCAAAAAGAGAGGGAACTGTACTGAATACGGTGAATAGCGGGTTCAGTTCAAAATGAATATGTAACCGTGACCGGCAAACTATGAGTCACACATTGTTGCCAGTTATAATGCATTTATCTTAGTTCGATTCTCTTAATTCTCGCACTTAAAAAAGTGCTTGACAAAACGTTGGTTGGAGCAGAAGCCTCTTATAACTCGATGTAACTCTTCCACTTAACACTTTGGATTATTTTATAGGCTTGAATATTTGTTGCCTGTTTTATAGAGCCGTTTTCACTTGACTGTCGTAAAACCAAAACCAAAGTAAATACACTAGCCAACCAAAGGGCGTAGTAAGACCAAAACCAAAACCAAAACCAATTACTTTCGACAGTCAAGTGAAAACCGCTCTATATCCTAAGCCCATTATCAGTATTTAAAACCGGACATTAATAAAGAGCCCGTTCTTAACAGTAACAGGGCCATTTTCTTCTCAATTTTCATTCCAATACAATTTCTTCCCCATTTTTCTCTAACAGCAAACTTTTCACTATGATTCCGACCTCTGGAACAACAACAAAACATTCAATCTTGATGGAGGGGAGACTGGGTTTGACTTACAGGAGACTAAACTACCCTCCTACTGGAACACATCCCTCAGCAAGATCTGCCTCGGTATGAAGATCAACAACCAGATCAATTTTATTGTCATCAACAAGCAGGCGAACTCCTTGTACTCTCTGATCGCTGATGGGCAATACCGCAGCACCTCATTGGGTCGTGACAAGTGGATGTCGCTGATTGGTTCAAATGCCTCATTGCAGCTGAACTGTAACAAGGAAGGGTTCAACGCAAACTGTACCTTGAGTGGCCGTTCCAAAGCAAGAATCGGTATTCTCGGCAACGATCAAACGCATTGCCATGCATGTAACTCCAGATTGGGGTTTGGGAGCGGAGGGAACCACGATGATAGGGGGAATACATGTGGAAATTTGGATAATCACGAGAAAAAAAAACTGAGCATCAAGACAATGGGGTATATCCTGGTGCAGTGAGAACAATGCTCCTTTGCATGTCTTTGAGCGAGTAGTGGGAATATGTTATACCCGAGGCATATAACCTCGTTCGGGGTTATATTCTTCTGGTTATACAAAGTCCTTTTAACGAAAACTCATCGTTACGATGATGAGTAGAAGTAAGTTAAGTTATAGACAAACATTATACACGCCTAGACCGAACGTTTTTTTCTGTCGAGGCATGTGAACAGACAACTAGTGGGGATCATGTTTGTTGTGTTTAACCAAGAAAGTTATAGAGCGGTTCTTGGTGTGTATAAAAGTAGAAGTGCTCGGATTATTTGTCCTTCTATCCCTTGCCATTCAAACCTGTGGAATTGAAGAAAAGTTTTTAACAACAACTTAAATCTAAACGTTTCTCAATCTATGAAAGCTACTTAAAAACGAAGAAATATATAATAATAAACTAATATAATAAACTTTATTTCTCAAACTGCGATCATATCCAGTGGTTCCACAAAAGACTTAATCAGATTTAAGGCCGCCAATCGGTCTAGGACTGAGACAGTTGCTACACGCAGACAGTCCGTTGGGAAGACCGATGTGAGATGTGTTGAAAGTGATAAAAGAGGCAGTGGCGATTCCCACCAACAAAGAAACGTCCACTACGCTGTTCCAACAGCAATGTGGGTTGTTTAACCTCACCTTCAAATTTTAAAATACCGTATTTCCTCGAATAACGATAACAACAACAACAACAATGGAATTTATATAGCGCTTATACATCGCTGTTCTAAGCGCTTTACAATGTAAAGCGAATAGTAGCCGTCCCTCGATTAATCGCCCCCCTCGAATCAATTACCCCTCTTAGACGGAAATTAAATATTGAAGACAATCGCTTCCCTCGAATATACGCCGACGCTCCACCTCTCTCGCCATCTTCTCTTTCTCTTATACCCTCCCGGTCAACTTGAAGTGGCGTCTGATCCAGCAGAATGATCAGTGACGATTCAAGCTCTGACATCGAGGATATTGACACTGAAAATTTATCAAGGAACCAGATTTGGAACACTTAGAAAGCCCATGTTCAGTTTATCTGAAGTGATCATTTTTCGATTTAATGGGATAATAAA